GATAGAGGCTATGTCCTCTCATCCTGTCACTAGTTGCCTGGGAGAAGAGGCCCGAGCCCCATCTGGCTACAACCTCCTTTCAGGTAGTTGTAGAGAACATTAATTTCATCCCTGAGCCTCCTTTCTTCCAGGCTAAACAACCCCACTTAATCACTCCTCATAGAACATGTGCTACAGAACCTTCACCAGCTTTGTTGCTTTTCTCTGGACATGCTTCAGCACCTCAATGTCTTTCTTGTAGTGAGGGGCCCAGAATTTGACACAGTATTTGAGATGTGCCCTCACCAGTGCAGAGTGCAGGGGGAGAACCACTTTTCTAGTCCTGCTGGCCACACTATTTCTGTTACAGGCCAGGATGCCATTTTCCTTCTTGGCCACCTGGGCACACTTCTGGCTCATGTTCAGCCACTGTCAACCAGCACTCCAGGGCATTTTCCACTGGTCCACTCTGCCCCCAGCCTCTAGCACTGCCTGTGGTTATTGTGGCGGATGTGTAGGATCCAGCATTTGGTCTTGCTGAACCTCATACCATTTGTCTCAGCCCATCCACCCATCCTGTCCCGACTCCAACCTGTCCTGACTCCTTTCAGTGTTCCTCTGGTTTAGAATGTATCAAACCAGGCACACAACGGGAACTGCAGAAAAGCATCTTTGGGAGAAAGGACATGATCAGTCACTCAACTGTGCAGTGTCAGCATCTGAACTCTAGAGTGTGTTGCAGAGGGAAAAAAGATGCAGGAGCAGAGCTTCTCTGGTAAGGTGCAAACACTTATTTGTTTCAGGAATCAGCAATACTGTGCATTATGCTTAGGGCCAACAAGCAGAGACTCTTCGGTAAAGGTGTCTTGTCCAAAATTCTCTTCTCCCTGTAAGCAACCCTGTAACAACAACTGCTTCACCCAGCACTGTAAAAATTCCCAGGGTATTTTGATTTGATAGATGTAATGCAAACTAGAAACTGTTAGCATTTTTGTTTATATTGTGGCTTTTTAACATTTGGGACCCTTTTAAAGTACTAAGTTGGATCCACTCAACCAGCACTTCATCTTTTTGACAATCATGTCTCTCTCTCTGACTGTGATCGATATCAAATTCTGCATAGGATGCTATAGGTATCTCACTGAGTGATCAGAAGACCTTTGTTGGGATCTTCTTTTCTTGGCCCAGGATTCTTTTTTCCTCATGCTGTGAAAATCCTGCACCTGCCCACCCGTGCTTAGCATGTTGCATTCCTACAATGTGACTGGGTTTGGAACTGCAGGCCTCAGGGAGGCTCCAAAAGGCCCAGGCCAGAGAATGTGACCCTGGACATGTTGAGGAGTGTGTAAGACCCAGTTCACCACTACTGTTGGCTTCAGGAGACCCACAGGCCTGAGTATGCTCGTGCCTCCCACTCACTCTTCTGCCATAGTCTCACCCCCTGCACCACAGTGGCCTGTGTATGCTCAAATAAAGCTGCAGATGAGAGGTAGGAATGTGCTGCTGGGGATCATGGAGGAGAGGGGAGAGCACAGCATCTGTTTGCTCTCTGCCCCAAACCAGGGAGAGCCTTACCATCAGAAGTGGTGCTCTGCTCTTCCTTCTGTGTTTGTTTGCATGCAGGCAACTGCACATCTAGTGGCTCTTCATAGACTGTGAGCACATGGAGCAGTGGCTGTGTACCCCAGGGGCCAGGAGTGTAGTTGTCTGTGGCCCATGGCTCAGCTGAGTGTAGCAGAGCTCTGATGGACTTGCACTGAACATACACAGGAAAGGTGGTAATGCTGAATGAGGATGTGGGGGTGCTCAAGGGAGGTGGGACAGTTCTATAGGAAAAGCCCTTTGAGCTCTCTACCTTTATGTGGCCTTAAGTCGTTTGTTGCGGAGTATCCAACTCCTAAATCTGAATGTGCAGATGTATGGTGTAGAAAGCAGTGCCAGGAACTGAAAATCATGATGGGTGTATCTCAGCACAGGACAATTCCTGTGCACTCAGTAACTCAGTGCAGGAGCGTGGTGAAATTGTGGTGGTGAAACACATGCCCAAATGGAGCTGTCTAACAGAAATACTGGCAACTGACAACAGACCAACCTTACAGTCTTGCTAAGCTGAAAGTTGTCTGTGGTGGCAGCAGGATGAGGATAAACACCTTTTATCCTGTGCCTAGGAAACAGTGCCAGGAAGTCTGGCAAGGGCCTGTCACTTTAAAACATGCACAAAAGTAGGTCAGGGAACACTGAGAACCAGCATTTGACTTACCGCAAGTGCCTTGTCTCAGAAGAAGCAGGACAATTGGGATATAAAGGGTATGTAGGTGGCTTTTTAATCTCATGGTCAGCAGGTGGGGATAGAGTTGAAGCAAAGGGAGGGAGCCTTGGCCTCACTGCAGATGGGATGCTATGAAATCAACCTTTCCACACCCTGGACTCTGGCAGGGAAGTCTTGACGTAGGTGCCCAGAAGATGACAAACTGCTAGTGTCTTGGGCAGCTCTTACACCTCAAAAAGGTGCTCTGCACCTTTTCCAGAACGAGGAAGTGATTGTCTTTTCCTGCTGGAAAGATTTGTTCCTTGTAAACGTTCTTGAGCCCCTCCTCATCCCCCTTTCACAAACTGGTGATGTTCAGACCATGGTCATCAAATAGTTGCTACTGGGTGAGAGGGGATCTCTGAAATCCTCTCAGTGAGTAGGAAAGCCAATGACTGGGACAGAACCCTTCTCCACCACTCTTTTCTGCAGCTTCTCATCTCCAGCAGCCCTCCTGACACACTCAGTTTCACTTGCTTTGCCTTTCTTCACGTTTGTAACCTCAACCTCTGGGCAAGAAGGGTTATTCCTCTGCCTGCTTCTGCAACCATGTCCTGGCATCTGCACAGGCAGGTGAGTTGGGAAGGATGGGCTGACAGGTTGGTGGCATGGAAGGGACGGAGGGAGTAAAGAAGGGAGGAAAACAGGATAGCTGCAGTTGGTACTCACCGGGGGGCAGGAAAAGCGT